AAGAGCCAATAAGGAACAATGACTACTGGCCCTTAAATATGCTGCCACCGCTGAAGGTGGTATTCTGTTGCTGGAGACGCGCTACCGACGACCCGCGATACTGCTGTTAGCGACCCGGGACACGGCTGCTAGAGACACGGACCGCTGTTGGCCGAGACGACGACAGAACACAAGCTGCTGACAGACACAGAAGACAAGCTCCTGAACACACAGGAAACAGAGCTGATGTACTAGTAGAACTGACAGTAAAGTGCTATCTGCTATACTGTTCTGCATTCTCTTCCTAACACGTAACTGGGGGCATAATCGGTATTCACACAAGAACACGCAAAGTTATAAAAAATTTCTCAGCATATCCTTTCTCACGAAAAAGGTCCTGGATTTTCTCAAGCTTCTCCTCAATACGGTCTTCCGAATAAATTTTTCTAGTCCTCTCTGCCAAGCAGCGGACTAAAGGACGTTTCTGTTGAATGGGTACGAAACTGTTTATGTTCATTTATTGTCTAGACTAGATTTTTTTTCCTTGTACCTCGTTCCCATATAAATGCACTGGCCCGATGAGAATCTATCGAAAACTTATTCATGCTGGCAAACTGCTCCCCTGAAACAACTAACCAAACTGCACTTATAAAAATTTGGCGTCAGTCATTCAATCACCCCTGCCTATTGTGTAGGGACTCATTTGCTGTGGTTATTTTGGTCGAAATTACGTAATTTTAACCCGTGACGGTAATTTCTGCGGCTCCCTTTCATGAGCGACAGGAAGGACCTGCGAACCGATCAGTTTTGGATTCGGAAACTGAAACAAAAGCTCTTCAAAGGACAAAAAAGATGTATTTTTTGCTTCATTTCTACTACCTATTTTTGGCAGTTTGGCCTGTCTAACAGTCTTTGTGCCTCTAGTTGATAATTATATTACGCCCCGTTTTGGCCGAGAGGCGATGTAACACGATCTGTTGATCGTATCCATGCCAATGGCAGGCCACATCGTTGCGTTGTCCAATCAGAATCCTTCTCCAGCAATAAGGCAGTGTTGGGCAGCGTGTGTGATGTGACCTGGTAAGTGGACAATACGCGAGTTCGCAATCTGCTTGATTGCCTATTTGCAAGCTCATTTGCCATCAACGACGTAACAGAACTTTACGCAATTCTATACGTGGGCCGCTTCTGGAAAGTTAAAAGATGCCGGATAATTCATATTCGCAGACAACTAATTCTCCGTAGGAAATAGTCCGTTGTGTAAAATAGTACCCAGTGAAGATAGGCCGCGTCAAAATTACCCTGTATACTTAATTTAGATCACGTTGGAGTATTTTGTTAGACACGGGAATATTTGAACAGATGTATATTAAATAAATAGCGTTGGACACAGAAAGAGGTACAGTAGTCGCCGACTATTAAGCCCACGTCGGGCCCAGACCAAATTGGGCGTAATAAGCGGCGGGCGCAATAACCGGAGAGTCCTAGTTCTTGATAAGCAAACGCAGGATAGGCCCTATACCTTACATACGTACTGTATTATATGTAGAGCTTGGTTGTGTACAAGAAAATAAT